TACTTAGAAATAGTCACGTCTTCTACCATAACCTATTTAAATATTTAAACATTACTCCACAAATGTCAATCAAACAGCACTTACTTTGACACAGCTGTGGAAGGTGTGCTGAATGTGAGTTTTGCTCTCCTTAGATTTTCATTTTTTTTCTATCAAAAACCAATTAAACAGTTTTCAAACACACGAAGCTCAAGCTTCATGAGGCCATGAGGTAAAATGATCAAGACTGTGTAAGTTCTAATTTAAGACCTACGTAGAATAATTAATTCCGAGAAGTTAAACGTGAATATGTCCTTTTCCCTCCAACGAGCTTATTTTCCCCAGCCTTAATGTCAAGGAACAAAGAGGGAAATCTTTGATTTAGAATATCTTCCTTATTAAAATTTGAGGTTAAATGATCACTCTCTTTTTTGCTAATGCATGGAACAAAGTGTTTCCAGGCCTTATTCTACAGAGGATTCAGACTATGTGCTTCTCTTGTATTTGGTGACAAAATATGTATACAGAATAGAAATTTATAATTGGATATTGTTACTTTCAGAATTACAGGGGTGCTGGACAAACCCAGCTGAAGAGACATTAGGTATGTTAAAAGGTAAACTGAGACATATGAACATTTTTAAGAATTTGGGCAAAAATTTATTGAAATGAATGTCAAACAGGAAGTGGTTAGGAACACTCCCTCTGCAGGTGCTTGGGGGGAGACTTTTGCAGAGAAAAAACAGAAGCAAACTGAGGGGATTACTGACTGGCTGCCGCTTAAAGCCTTGTTGGCCATGGGGGATTGATTTTCCGCAGCGTTTTGATTTCATAACCATGAGGCGCTTACAGGCTTGGACTTCGGTTTGCTTATATAGACGTCCACAGCATTACAGCCACCACCGTCTAACGGCCTTCTTGTTTAATTAACTTAACAGGTGATATCCACTTGGATATATATTGTTATGAATTTGACTACACGGATTTAAGAGAGTTCAGCTCTCGTGCAGCACCAGACTCACTGTGTTAACCCAAAGGTTACTCTCTGAGCACACAGACTTAATACATTACTTTTCAGATGGTATGTAAAGTATAAGAAAATAATTTCTGGTTTTGAACAGCCTAGGAAATTTTTTTCCTCTTTCCAACATGGGTCTGTGCCAGGCAAGTACCACTGACCTTTTTATTCTTTTTTTTTTTTTAATACAGAAAATTGAGACATACTAACGGTTAGGAATATTCAGCTTTCACCTTTTGAGAATTAGAGAAGACACTGTCACCGCGTCACACCACTCGATTGTGACTCCAGTCTTTTCTGGTTTAGTAGAAAAGTTATCTTTGTTTCAGCCTCAGATTATCCTTCGTAAAGGGAGCAGCTCCTGTTTTCTTTTTGTGTGCATGTTAAAAGCCAACGAAAGAGATGTATCACAAATACAATAATTTTTAAAAGTATATAAATTTAGGATACCTTGAAATATTAATCTCTGATCTGTAGTAGCCTGCATAGATGGCTAAGGCTCAAAGGACACTAACAGAATGCATTTGGGGACAAGAGGACCTTTTTCCCCAAATACTTTGACTATAATAATCTGATATTTTTATAGTGGCTAGTCCTTTCCCTGCTCTTTGATCATCCTCTTTCTCTGTTTCCTCCCTCGTCTTTCTATCTTAGCGTTTCCCCTATAAATAAAAATGGATTTTGTTGTTATGGTTGTTCCTTTTTTTTTTTAATTGCCTTTATTTTCCAATCTTGTGATTCTCATTTTATAGGAACTACAATTCTAGACAAAGAATTTTTTTAAATAAAGCTTTTAGCAATAGTCTCTTTTCTGTTGTATTCCAATGGGTTAATATCTTTTTTTCTGAAAAGAAATACAATTAATTGTGCTATGTGTCATTAGGTGCTAAGCTGTCCACAAATAGCATGTAATTTTATTCTTTCAGTGACCTATGAGGTATTTCTGTTTTGGAAAGGAAGGAACCTTGATTTTCAGAGGTTAACTAAATTTTCCAATTTCACATAATTTATTAGCGGTTGGTCTAAGGAAAGACAGATTCTAACACTTAAATATTCTTAAATATTCTACAAGCAATTCTTGGATATCTTAGAACTAAGCATTACCTGAATATTTTCTCCAATCCATCAAGCATAAATACTGAAACCTCTCCCATAATAATCCTTTAGAAAAGAAGTTTATCGTTTTCCAAAAAGCAGACTATCACCTCTGATAGTCATGTCTGCTTATAATTAACACA